CAATGGCTGCGTTCAGCAGAACGTTTGTTTTGCAACTGTTGGAAGTTTCCTTCGCGCTAATTGGATCATACTTTTAGATCTAGAAGAATGGTCCTATCTCAGCAGACAATCATAAAACGGTTGCAAAACTGTTGAGTCTGCTGAACGCAGCCAATCTTTACCCCAGATCTATACAATAGGGTTTTAAGCCTCAAGCCATAAGAAATGAGCGAATCACAGTCGATTATTCCCCTCGGATTCGACTGTAATTGGTTAATTTCTTACGACTTAAGTCTTAAAACACCTATTGTAGATCGGGACATCCTGTATATCATGTGAATATCGAATTTTTTGATATATAATTTGCGTACCAATTTCCGCGCTGTATTAACGCTCTCATTGCCCATATATTTTATTATTGTAGTTTAAAAAAAAAGTTAACTTACCCTGGATCAATCGATTAATTAAAAAACTCACCCAATATTATAAAGAGAGACAGCGTGAAGAACGGTCGTGAAGCACAAGCAAGTTCGGACCGGCATGCGTAAGAATATACGTTCCGACCAATAGGAACGAAGAAGAAACTACTTCCAAGAGTTCCAAGTCCCAAGAATTTATCAGATTGAGATGGACACTATAGCATCATGTATGTAAGTACTGTGATAGCACGCACGTGTTTAACACTTTGGCCCGTATTCATAATCAGACCTTATATTTAAGGCTTCCTTAAATTTATCTTCAGATGCTCTACGAATTATTTCATTGGCTACTGAGCATCTAAAGATAAATTTAAGGAAGCCTCAAGTATAAGGTCTGACTATGAATACGGGCATTTGTCTTTCCACTATGATGCGAAGATCGGTGCGAAGATCGTTATGAAAGGTTAGAAATGAATTGGAAGTCGCATCAAATCCACCTTGTTATTAAATCTATCGAAAAATAAGTATGCGAAGCGCAAATAAATATACCATGAACGTGAGTGTTGAAATAATGCGTCGGACGTGTACAGAGATATCTGAATCGCCGAAAAACGATGTAATTTCGTGAGTCACGAAAAAACGCGAAGTATCGAGTGTTCGAGCAGTTACAAGTAATTATAACGACATCCGAGCGATTGTAACGTTTGGCATTTTAGAAGATTTCCGAAATCGGAAATTTATATAAATATATATTACGCGAGATGGAAATTGTGTTGTGATCGAATTTCGTCCACAGTAGGTGTTTCCCATTTGATGACAAGTCGACACAAGTGTCGTTCTATCTTTGTCACTCTCTGAATGTCAACTTGATTGAAGGGTAGAGCAATGCTTGTATTGACTTGTATTTATCAAAACCGTACACAGAACGCAGCAAAACTTCCTGCTTTGCCGCGCGGTGGGAATTAGCGTAGCAGCCACGTGTTTAACACTTTGGCCCGTATTCATAATCAGACCTTATATTTAAGGCTTCCTTAAATTTATCTTCAGATGCTCTACGAATTATTTCATTGGCTACTGAGCATCTAAAGATAAATTTTAGGAAGCCTTAAGTATAAGGTCTGACTATGAATACGGGCATTAATTTCACCAACCACGGTTAGATTAACCGACGGTTAAAGTTAGCAGGGGGTGGCCAACAGACATTCATATTCTCTCGTAACCTCTTATATATTGTCAATTTTACGGAGCTTTGTCTATCTGAAATTTCATCAGTGTGTGAGAATACAAAATGAATGATATTATAAATTACATATTTTTTGACGAATTTGCTGTATAATACACTGTTTATTCCCACAAATTTCAGGTTAGAGCCAAGAGGTTACGAGAAAATATGTGTCTGTTGGTCACCCTGCTAACTTTAACCGTCGGTTAATCTAACCGTGGTTGGTGAAATTGGCCCTTACCAAAGTTATAACATTGATGTTATGTACGTAGTCTATTATATGTTATAAAACTGGCCAATTACAATCATTTCATTCTTTAGAAGAATAGCTATGATTGCCCAGTTTCATAATGTGTTATAACTTCGGCATAAATCGAGTTGTGTAAACGTAGTCATTTATAAGTCATTTATAAATATAAATACAGTTTTGATGAGATTTTGCAACAAAAAGATTAAGAAAGCATAAGCTAAAATAAAAAAATTATTTTGTTTTACAATTTTTGTATTGTATTTTTATATAATTTTTATAAAAACATCAAAACAAAATTTCTATAAGACTTGTATAAATTCGAATACTGTAGTGATATTATACTTGAGTGCGCGTACGCTAAATAGCGACTTGTCTAATAGCATTGAAACAAATGATGAAAAAAGTCTTAATATGATCCAACAGCCAGATAAGACCGTAATCTGACTTGATGGACGAATTGGAAATATATGGAGAAAAACATCAAACCAAACGATTAATTATGGATTTAACTGAGGAAGATGTTGATATAATTAGCATAAGTAGTCAAGAAGAAATACAAAATCGAACAAAAAAATTGGACAACGATGAATGTGCGAGTCCGGAACGACGAAAAATTAACGTGGTCGAAATAGGATCTCCAATTCTCACCACAAATCGTGGATTTAACAGGATTCTGTAAGTTTATGTTTTTTTAAACTAAATTAAGTTGAAGTTAATAATGGCTTATAAAATTAATTTAAGTACGTTAAAGTTGAATGAACAAAAAATTAACTTAAAGTTAAAATTATATTAAGATTTAATTAATTAAAGTTAAACGAAAAGTTAATTTTGAAAAATATTTTTATTCAACCAGAAAGTTCTAATTTTTAAAAAATCAGATTACTATAAATAAAAACAATTACATACAAAAAATATAATATAGATCATTAAATAAATTTAATATTTTATTTGTAAATTTTATATAGTATAACAAAGAAAAAAGTTTTTCATATAGCAATGTATTTTTTCTTGTACAATAAATAACTTATTTTTACGTAGGAATTTTCAAATAGTATCTTGTCGATAATTAGATGTTTAACAAGGATAGAATGATGCAATAAATGCAGTCCCTAAGTTTGTCAATTTTCCACATTCATTTCTTTAAGCACACGAGCGTCCCGCTTATCACATCACGATGCATTCAGTACTATAACCGCTTATTGGGAATTCAGCGAGCTTTTGCATCTGATTGACATAGGGCGGTATTCATAGTCCTTATTTCAAGATCGTCTTAAGTAATGTCTTAGGCCCAGTTCCACAACTCACGGTTAACTCTTAACCGAGGTTCAACTTGTTTCTCATCTCTTTCCAATTCTAGAATTAGAAAAAGACAATGAATAAGTTGACCTTGGTTAAGAGTTAACTGTGAGTTGTGGAACTAGGCCTTAAGATGCTAATATGGTCTTCTGATTGGTTCGTGATATCTTAAGACTGTACTTAAGATGGTCTTGAATATAAGAATCGTATATGAATACCGCCCATAGAGACCTAGTTTCACAACTCATGGTTAATTCTTAACCAAGGTTCAACTTATTTCTCATCTTTTTCCAATTCTAGAATTGGAAAGAGATAACGAATAAGTTGAACATCTGGGTAGCGATCATGTAACTTTTTCTCTAAAGCGGAAACGTAAAAAGTGAACATTTTTTGTATGTATGTGTATATACATATGTATGAACATACATACATAAAAATTTTCACTTTTCGCGTTTTCGCTCTAGCGAAAAAGTTACATGATCGCTACCGTATTAAGAGTTAACGTAGGTCTGTTCTTTTTAGTTAAAGTTTTTGCTTTAGTTCATCTTTCTTCGTTTTCTCTCTGGAGAGAAGAAGAGAAGAGATGAACCATGCAAAAAGTTCAGCTAAAAAGAATAGGCTTCGTGAGTTGTGAAACTGGCCCACATAGTCCGTTAGATTTAAAAATATAGATCAAACAATGCACAGTGTAAATGGTTGTAGTACTGAATGCATTCAGTCATTGAGCTTTCTGTGAAAGCTTCTAGTTCTCTAATCACTAATGTTTCAGATTTTATTGAAAAAAATATTGTTTAGAGAAATAAAATAAATTTTAATTTGAAAAGAGTAAAAGTTAATTAAAGTTTAAAAGTAATTAGCTTAAGTTAAAAATTAATTTATTTGAAATTAATTAAATTAACTTAAAAGTGTGTTTTTAACTTTTTAACTTCTATGTAACTTTTAATTTATAAACTAGTTACCCAACCTTGGAAATTAAAGAAGAACTGCAGGAGATTACCCTTAAAGAAAAAAAACACTCTAAGAACAGCGAAAGTGATGAAGTTGAAGAAGACTTACATTTTCTAGAACAATCTAAAGATACTCAGGAGATGGAACAACTAATACAGTCGCTACTTGTAAAAGAAAAAGAAAATTGGATTAATATTCAAAAATCAAAACCGAAACAGACCAAAAATTTAAAAGCGGTTTGTCCAAATTCGGTAGAGTTATTGAGTGAAAATAACAATAACGATCTTGAAATTATTAATAAAACTCTTGAGCCCATAAATAAGTTAGTTAATGGAGATAATAGCGGAAACGAAGTTACGCGTCAATTTAATCCAGATACAACTAAGTTGTATAGAACTACCATAAATCCTACCATAGAAAGCGAGGTAGGCGAAATTAGACATAAGGTAGCAAAAACAAATACGTGTACTACAAAACAAATAGATAATAAGAATAAAGTGAATAATTGTAAAGCTGTGATAGTTCAACCACGAAATTACGGCAAGGTAGCTAGAAGACCCATAAGAATGACAACATTAAAATACCCCGATTTAACAAATTTTCCTTTACGGGCAAACAAAAAAATTAATGTTCGTAAACTGAAGCGTAAGCAAAAAATAGCGTTAAGTAAGGCTAAACAATTAGCGAAAAAGGTGTGGAAACTCAATGTTACAAAATCACTAGCCGCAACTCGAAAGATAGCTAGACGACAACAACCCAAATCCATTCCACTTACAGAAGAAAAGGATGAAGTTAAGGTGAACAATGTACGAAGGACGATGGAGACTTCGTCAGAAACAAGTTTGAGCGACATCGAGCAACAGCTGGAAAAAGACGAGAAGACACTACTGCAAAAACTTAAGAACGAATTAAGTAATAAACAGGAAATTTTATTGCGGAGACAACACATAAAACATATGCGCGAAATCGTACAACAACTCGAAAAAGAAAACGTTGGATATAAAGCAGCCGATATACAGACAGGACAACGACAATTAGAGATTACCAGGGCGATTAACATGTTCTATCAGTTAAAAAATGAAAGTACTATGTATGAAGACAATTTCGTTATCAAGGATCAAGCAGGATATGACACAATCCAATGCCATGTAAAATTTACGATCAAAGATTTAAGACCAGAAGGTTATTGTGGACCACGAGTATTTCATACAATGTACGACTTAGTGGAGGATCGTTTAACAAGACATATTGTTATGCGTAAGAATGACGGCACCCAGCAAGTGGAACAATTACCAGTAATTGAAATTAAACCGTCCACATCCGGAATGGCAGATGGGAATAAAAAAGGATTGTCCGGAAAGAAAAGGAAAATATTATCTTCCGAATCCAACTTTATGGAGAAAGTGCAAATATCGAACGAAAAGAAGAAAAAGAAGAACAAAATTGATATATCGAGCAAAGCACTGAAACACGCAACAGCAAGTCGAACGCAAAGAAACGATGGCAAATTCAAACCAACAGAAGAACAGATCACAACATCCACAAATAAACAAACAAAAAATAATCAGGAAATCATTTCCGCTAAAGATCTTAATCTTCTTCCCCACAACAAAAATCTACAACAAAAGTTGAGCTTTGAAAAAAAAATTTTCACCCTCGAAGTGATGAAGTTGCCGGCTTTGAATCCGACGTCGACCGCATTGTTAAAATCAAAAGAACCAGAGACTGGAAATCAACTACCGGAGAGCCAGCCAGAAGAATCTGCAGTGGATGAGCTACAGAATCCACAAATTATGAATAATAATCAAGCGATGGCGACATTTTCTGAAGAAGACGTGGAGAAGCAGCCGAATGTCGAACAAGTTATGGAAAATAACGGTAATTCCAAGAATATTGATCGTAAGAATGCTGAAAAATGTGATTAAAAGATTTTAGAGACATCAAGTGTGATTTGGTACAAATTTAAGATTTTTTATTTTTTTATTAAGTGAGTTAAAGTTTTCAATATTTTATTTTAAATTCGAAATGCGAAATAAGCTTTGTGTAATCATAAATTCGTTTAGTTATGAAAAGTCATGATATGTTCACTATATTATAAAAATTAAATATGATTTCGTTGAAATCGTAACAAAGGTTGTTTTGTTCAGAGGATGATCTTGTACAATTAATGTTTGAAGTTATTCGATATTTGTGAAAATTTATTTTAGTTCATCAAATTGTACAACAAAATTAAATTTAGGTTTAAGATTATAGATGTGTTATGAGATTGACAACTTCACAAGGAGCTAATTATAGCTTTGAAATTTGTTTTTATTTTTGTATTAATAAAATTAATAAAATTAATAAAATTCTTAATTTTTATCATAAATCTAAATTCATAGTATCTCTCTCTCTCTCTCTCTCTCTCTCACCATAAAAATCTCCAATTTCATCACAAAATTTAATTTATAACAAAGTTTCATCATAAAGTCAAAATTTAAAAGTTTCCAGTTAATGAAAAACTTAAATTTACTGTAATTATGTTCAGTTCTAGAGATTTTAACTATAAAATCTTTAATTGTATTATAGTTTCATTAATTTTACCATAGAATCCTAAAGTTTTTCACCATAAAATTTCTTAAATTTAAAGTCAAGTCTAAACTGGAAATTCACCACAGATAGAATTATAGGATTTCTGTTATTAAAATCTCTATTTCTTGCCATACACATATGAAGTTTCTACATATCCGTAGGAAATTAAAAATAAAGGAATTATTCAGAACAGTCCAGTTAAATTTTGCTTAAAAAATTTGTTATGTTCAGATTCCACAGCTCTTTATTAGGATTTTCGCTATTATCAAAACCTGCTTACAAAATGGTATCTATGCAGTAAGAATTAATTTATATCACAAGAAATATTCATAGCCAGTTCTAATATATAGATGAAGGCGTTTGGTTTGAACGCTTTTTCAGCATTTATTATTTTACGTTCAATGAACGGTGAAGACAATGACACGTACTACAAGTGCTTAAAGCGCGTGAGTGTCAAAACCGAACGCAGCCGAAATCGTGCACTATCGCCATTTGATACTTTATCAGTCTAGTGAATCTTTAAAAATCTCTTCAAGCGAGCTGGAATTTGCATCATTGGGTCCGCGTATCACTGAACGGACGTGTAACCATGTGCATTGATAAATTGCGGTTTTTAACAAATATTTGGATAATACATTATTAAATTCATGATTTAATTTTTATTATATAAATTTCGCATAAATAAGTGCGCATACTTTTAACGCTATAATAACATATTGTCAAAAAATTACAATTTTTTCTCTATAGAGTTATCATCTCTGTTGATAATGAAACTCGGATGATAACATTATGATTGGTAATGTCATCGTTCTTCACTTACCCTCGAATCCATTTTGGCTGTGTTCCAAATTTACTGCCAGCACAGAAAATGCTATAGTTTACGTTACGTGCACTATAGATTTTCAGTACTGGCAGTCAATTTTGGAACACAGCCTTTATAGTCACGAAAATTTATCCAGGGGTGGCTCTCTTAATAATGTCTTGTTAAAGTCACTAGATTTCTAAAGTACCGCAATTGATTTCAGAAATGTTGCGACAAAATGGCCAAAGTGTACATAATACACGATTTCAAGCATGGTGGTTCATCTTTTAAACTGTACTTACACGTCCCTTCGTGCCCTTTCATGCACTAAATTTCTACAATAAATAAACCCGTATTGAACTAAAGAACACATAAATTAAGCATTCGTACATATTTTTTTGTTCATAAAGAAACTAATTACAATTAAAAAATATTGATTTACATGACGGCTTCATTTTCCTAAATAAAGCACGTAATACAAATGCATAAATTCGAAATGGCCGCGTTTTTTTGCGATAAAATGGACGAGTTTGCGGTACTTTATAGATCTTAGTGACTTTATGTTTTGTCGATGTCGATGCCAATTGGGAGCTGATCAGAAATCGGAGCTTTCATGTCATATGATTCACGACTGACGCCACTCCATCAGACCATCAACTGCTATTGACAAGAGTACCTTATCTCGCACTTTGCAATTGTAATGTAGCGAGTTATTAAATCTTTATTTCTACTTGTTTTCTCATGATCACTCATCATGTCCGCTAAGGTGATCCTTTTAACATATATCAAAAGATATAATAGTATTTTGCTCCATGTTCGTAAATTTGCATAATAATATAAATAATAATGTATAATTATATATAATAATAAACCAAATCTTACAGTTGAATGTGGTGAAAGTGGAAAGTCATAGATACATTTGTCTTGTTTTTTTACTTCATATGTACCTTAGAAATATAAGAGTGATATTATTCTCTCTGCTGATTAGTCTTTTAATAATAATACAAAGAATATATATATATATATATAAAAAAGCTTCTAACTAGAAGCAATAAAAATAGAGTCATATACATTTATTTTGTTTTGCTCTTAATAAATATATTTTAACATTTAATAGTGTGGTAATATTTTAGTTATCATTTTTGTAATAATCATTGTTAATAATATTCTGTTTCTTATTTCAGAACGAAGACAGCAAGGATGATAATCTAAACAGGCAAGGCTCGTTCAGGAAGCTTGTGCCAGGAAGCAATCATGGAGATTCTCCATTGAGCATGTCTGCGAAAATGATTGATAGACCAATTATGTGGCAAATCAACAAGCAACATGCTATTTTCTCACAGGAATACAATGTTTTGTCTGAGTAGTAAGTTTAGTAATGTTATCAGATGTGTATGAAAAGATAGTTAATTTTGTATGATATTTTCCAGCAAGATGTTGTGTTCTCAAGATTTGAAGGGGATTTATGTGATACCATCTGCTTTGAATGCTTTACGTAAGTATTGTTAAAGACTATATAAGTTGTGTTTAGTATATTCAAAATTTGGCATGCAATTTTCTATGATAACTTTTAATCTGTGATATTAATGTTTCGAAACAGGAATTAGTACCATTCTGTAACTTGCATGTCAAGGAACAAATACCCTTTCCTTTTTGTTTTCTTGTTTGCATACTACGTTTCTTTCTATTGAAATGTTAGTATGTTTTTGATAGGTGTAAACCTATTTTATAGGTCTTGCTCTTCCCGATTACGACTTGTATAATGGTTCTGATGTAAATATATCTATACTATATCTTTTGCCTATTTCACTTTAATGTAGTTAAACTAGCGATTGTAAAAAGTTCTAATATTTCATCTTCACATTTTGTCGCAGTGTGGTTTGGTGTACAGTTCATTCGGCAAGGAATCTACAAAGGCGGAGTTTTTAGATTCACCATTACACTGCCTCCTAACTTCCCACAAGGAGATTGCCCTGTAAGAATACTGACTCGTAGATAATCGACCTTGTGTATAGTTTTTTCACTCAAGTGTGTTTTAGAAAGTTATGTTTGAAACTCAAATATTCCATCCATTAATAAATCCAGAAAGTGGAGAATTGTGCACGTCATGGGAATTTCCTGAATGGAGAAGGAACAACAGAATTTGGCAATTATTGCAGTATATCACTAAGATATTCACTAAACTAGATGCGAAAATGACTCCAGTAAACGAGGAGGCATCTAGCTTGTAAGTATATTTGTCTTTGAAAGAAATGTGAAAATAATGTATCATTCAGAATATCTACATGTGTGAATTAATCGGCGATATTGCAGGCATGAAAATAATTTTGAAGCTTTTCGGGAACGTGTGAAAGCGTGCGTAAAGGAAAGCGTAAATCAAGTGTTTAACCCACCTACACTGGATGATCCACATTATATTACATTTAATCCATATGTGAAAGAAGTACACGACCCCATTAAACAAGAAATTTACGAACCAAAAGTAAATAAGTATTTGAGTGTATTATTTTCATTACGATAAAAAACGTATTAAGTTTACATATTTAATCAATTTATCGCATTTTGCAGGACGAAGAAAACAAGCCACTGGGTTTATCGTGGGTACAACCTGGTTCGCTTCAGCCATTTTCAAAACCAGAAGCAAGATAATGAAGAAATTTTAAACGCTGGCTACAGTGAAACAATATACGTCCTTAAGAGCTATACGAAGAAATTATTGCTCTCTCGGCAATCGTGCAGACGATGTCGATAAAGTCACAAAAATTATTAGACAAAAGCTATTTTTTCTATTCAAAGAGTTTATGTGTCTTAACATTTTATATAGGATTATATGTGTTAAAGAGAGAGAATGCTTAGAACAAATTATAATATATATAAAATACTCTTGTAATTAAATTAAGACATAGAGATTATTAACATAATTGTTCAAAAATATGCAAAATTTTATTATATAATTTTTATTTTAATACATATATCACTAGTGTCTCAATTATTTCTGTACTTGATTACAATTATGACAAATCCATTATAACTCAGGGATCCTATAGTTGTCTGTTTTATTGATTCAATAGGACTATGTATCATTGATATATCACTACATATTATCACATCAATATCGCACTACGATATCGCACTACGACAGAACGAGTTTTGTGCGTTGCCGGCCTCAATTCGTTTTGTTTCAGCGTTTTACATTTTTGAGAAAGTGCCTTTTTCTCATTTTGTTAACTTATTTATTTAATTATAACAATTTTTTATAATATACAATTTTATAAATACTTTATAAAAATCTTTGTTAAAATCAGGGCTCGGTAAAATAACTGATACGACTTATTTAAAATAAAAAATATAAAATAGGTTTCAGAAAATTATTTAAAATACAAAATCGATAAAAAAAATTGATACAACTTATTTAAAATAAAACATAGAATAAGTTCCAAAAACTTTTTAAAATATTAAATAAGAAATAGGTCAGAAGAAGTTATTTAAAATAATAGATACTAAATAACTTTTTAATTTTTTTTTATTTAAAATATATATTTTAAATAAATGTATTTGAAATAAGACCGAGCCCTGGTTAAAATACACATAAAAATCGTTTAATAATTTTTATATACTTGTAAAAGTGATGAAAATTTAGAGAACACGAATGACTCAATGTGTGTTTGGGAAAAAATGGGTATATTAGTACTTTACATTCACTTCTTCAGAGAACAGTAGTGTGCGAGAGCATTTTGCGGTTACAGGATGTGCATTCTGTTTCATGCACGATGTGTATAATGCATCATTTATCCTTGTTTAACATTCGATACAAGGATAAATGATGCATCATGCCGGCGCATTATGCGTGAAACAGAACGCAACCAGGAAAAAGGCCCTCATCCTCATGTCCTCTCTCAGGTTTCTCTCTCTCTGGGGTGCGTCCCAAAACCTAACTACACTAACCAAAACTCTATAGTTAACGTTACGTCAACTAAGGTAAACGTCCCAGTGTCCGAATAGTTACACAAAATATTTATTTAAATTAATATTAATCTCAAATGCTTTTTTTAGCTTAAAGATCAATTTGAATTGTCTTTTGTCATTAAACATCTATTCATATTATTATTTTCCGTCAGCATATTAATTTTCCAAGTGGGTTCAAATAATTTTTCCTTGCTTAAGGTAGTCTTGAGTTTTCAAATGAATAAAAAATTATATTAAAAACCTTTTTGATATTATAAATTATATTATTTATTAGAATCTAACGCTTAAACGTCCGTCTACTAGGACATTTACCTTATAGAGTTTTGGTTACTGTAGTGACGTTTTGGAACGCAGCCTTGGTAGCCAGTGGTAGCATCGTCGCATAGGGATCCGGCTTTAATCGAGGCTGAAGGGTCTCTAAAAAATCGTGATTGTCGACGAGGAGAAAAATAACATACATGGCAGGATAGGGGCGCGTGGAGCTGGAGCGTAACTTGTGCAACGATTTCCCAAGCTCGCGACCGTCAAGCACGACTCCTTGAAAGACACCGTATTCGTTACCGGCACGCTCGAAGCCGCATCTGCCGTCCGGGATTATGAGTTGCGGCGGTCGTAACCTTTAATGACAGTTTCGCATATTCAGGTAACGTACTCCGTTGTATTTGAGAATCTGTATTCATATAAGGCTCGAATCCTCGAGCTCGCGCTACATCTTACTGCGGAAGTCTCGGCGTCACACAGCCCTCGCGCCGTAGATACATATCTACGGTTAGGTTAGGTTTAGGGCGGAATACGTCGGCCACGAAGGGCTCCTAGGCTGGGATAATTATTGCATGATTTTGTTGTTAATATTGTTACACAATGACTTTCCAAAATGTTTTTATTATGCTTTCATTATTATTATTATTATGTGTAAATTATGGACGCGTATGTTATTGATAAGAAATTGTATATTGATATTTATTAATGTATGTAGATATGCATGTGTATTATTGATAAAAAAATGATTGTGCAAGATATTACGAAAAAAATAGAAGTTGCTTAATTGGTCGATCTGGGATAAACTACTTGTATCGAGTTAAATTCCTTCATTTTAATTGATTAGGATATACACTTAACTTTTGTATGAATGTTGGAACTGTTGAGTCATTATGTGTGTGTTGATCATTCTTTAAATGGTTGTAGGTTTTAGTTAAGCTACTGTATGTTTTCTTGCTTGATTGCTTGCATTTTAGTAAATTACCAGAAATTATGTGTCTAGAGCTTTATTTTGATTCTTATCAAGTACCATCTAGATATCATTTTATCCTTATTGTTTACCGAACGTTAAGGCTGGAGCATAGATCTTTACATAATGCATAAAGTTTAAGAGAATTTAGACCAATCAGTCTTCTTTCCATGAAGGATTCTAATTGCTTCTCTAATTTTATGTTAGACCTGTCCAATTTTAGCTGCGGAGTCAAAATACAAAGCCATCAATGAAAAAAAATAATCAATATGGATAAGATTTCAGATGCTGTAAAATATTTATACTCGTTTGAGCGACGCTTTTCAATACTTTACAGTCCTCGAAATCTTCCATTCCAATCTTCGAAATCCATATTGTTTTTTTATGTTGATGCATTTTGGCTCCGAAGTAAAATTGGACAGGTTTGTTTTATGGATTATATGCAAAGGTCTGTGCTCCGACCTTTCAACAAATGGTTTCAACAACTTTCCAGCAAGAAACAGTCTAACACAGTGGATCATTTGATTTTTATTTAACATTATCAGACAAGGATGTAATGATTCACTATGTTAGGTATATTATATCTGTGTCTCTTGCTGGAAAGCAAGAGCTAAGGATGACATGATACTTGAGTGACACTCAGGTGGGAATCTGAACACAGCCCTGTATGATACAATTCTAGTAATTTACCAGAACGTAAGCAATTCAGCAAGAAAAATTACATTGTGTGCCACTGGTTTTACATATCGTGGATATCATGTTTTAGGTCACATAAGAAGCACCAAAAATGCAGACGATAAAGTGTGTTGTGGTAGGTGATGGAGCAGTCGGTAAAACGTGTCTCTTGATTTCGTATACCACGAACAAGTTTCCTTCTGAATATGTGCCTACTGTTTTTGACAACTATGCAGTAACTGTGATGATAGGAGGTGATCCATATACATTAGGATTATTTGATACAGCAGGTAAAAGGTCTTCCTTTTTGAATTATTTCTTATAATGGCAGTTCATTCTATATAATATTTCGTAACTCAATTGTACTTTTTGTCTTTTCTTAGGTCAGGAAGACTATGATAGATTGCGTCCTT